ATTCAATAAAATGCAGTTTAAGAAAACAAACAACTCATTTTACTGAAGTTAATAGAAAATTATTGTGGAAGTAGACGCCAACTTTGTTGTGTTTTGTACATTTTTGTTGTTGTTTTTCTATAAATTTTGTTATCGAATGTTTTGTACGCCTGGTCAAGCATTGTGGACAAAAGAGTTTACCCAAAACAAAATGTTGGAAACGGCTAACTTCTTTGATTATAGTTTCGAAAAACAAATTTAGAATAAGCTGATAATATATATATATTTAGGAACTGTTAGGGTACACGTATTAAAAAACGGGAACTTTCGCAGATATTTTGCACAGATGTTGTTTGGATTTTCTCCTCATTTTCAAAGGTTTTCTCATTACTGAGAGCGAATCTCTGCAAAATATCCGTTCAACAACAGCTCCTTTGCAAAATAACCAAGTCAGAACTGTGAGCTATTGTTTATCAGGTATCTTCTAAAAACAATTAAGAGGAAAGTTACTACAGTTTCTTCTATGTGAGGGGGTATACTTACTCATTCTGATATTGTTAGCATTTTTCGGTGTGAAATCAGTTTTCGTCGCGCGGTGAGGTCGCACTTGGGACACAAAATAATTTAATTCTTGTAATACATCAGATCAGAACCGTAATTTAATAAGAACTAATAATATCCTATGCGGAGAGGCGAAATAGTTTAGATTTAAACGTGACAAGATTTCATATCTAAAACTCCCTTTACGGTTCTTCGTTTTAATTTTGAGCTAGTGAGCGGATGTAGAACACTTGTCTAAACAGCGGGACGATATAAAAATATTTGTGTTGGGGACTCGGGGAATAGACTCGCAGGTCTCCAGAATACTGATAAAAAGTACGTAAGAACTGGCATCACTTGACAAAAATTTGCAGTGTCTTCAAGTACATTCTACTGCGTTGTTTCCCAATTGCCTCTGCAAAATCACGTTGAAAGGGATTCAGCTGAATAACCTACGATGTAAAGTAATTGCAAAATGTGGAGACTCGAGTCTTCGCTCTTACTGGAGCAGAAAATCTATTTGTTATTTCGTTTCCTAAGAGGCCAAAGTCAGAGCTACAAAAAACATATAAACTGGAACTTTTATTGCCGAGAATTGCTTACAAAGTTGCTCCTGGTCAAGTGATGCCAGTTCTTACGTACTTTTTATCAGTATTCTGGAGACCTGCGAGTCTATTCCCCGAGTCCCCAACACAAATACTAACATTCTCGCTCTTGCACATCAATCTATAGGCGTTTTTTTCCCGAGTCCCAACTGATAATAACATTTTCTAAACTTCTACGTTTCACGTATATCACAAAATGGTTATATGTATTTTTAAAAAAATGAGTTATGAATGGAATAAATGAAAGAAAATATTGACATGGTATTTGCAAGTGAAAATAATCGACTTTCAATTTTTAAAAGCCTTGCAGTGTTTACTTATCCTATCAATATTTATACAGTTCATATATTGAGTAGCTATTCACCAGATTAATGAGCTCATTTTTCAAACAATATTCCATTTTCTATAAGGCTAATGCTTTCACCGTATATATATCTGAATTGCTTTAGTTTTTATGTGTTCTCTTTTTTATTGTTATGAGAAAGTACAAATTCTTCAACTGTTTGTAAAGAAACACACATTTTCTTCCATTTATGAATAATATAAGTTACAGATTAAAATACTCAATGAGTCTTCACATTTTTAAGAACTCAAAAGAATCGATTCTTTATTTTTTGTACAAATTTTATGAAGTTCTTCAGTCTGTTCTCTGAAGACATTAAGAACAGTCCGAGCGGGTATATCAACTCACCCCCACTAGGTATATAAATTGTTTTAGAACAGATCCCGTTCTCTGACCCATCCTGTCCCAGTACTCCCCATTCAAAGTGAAACTCGGAGTAGTCCGTTTTAAGCCCGAACGCCCGTTCCGACTGTTTTTTGGACCCGTTCTATTGTCCGTTCTCTCGCTCTTGCACATCAATCTATAGGCGTTTTTTTCTTGAAGTGTTGCCAACCTGGGACTAGTGGGCTTTTGTAGCCCATGGTCGACTGAGTGGATCGGCACTAGTTTGGCTCCGACGTCGCTCATACTCAGTTTCTGCTTCCCCATAGTCGACTGCCTACTCCATTCATCATTTTGAGCCAATCAACTTTTGCTCTACTAGTTTTGTCTGTCGGTAGTATGTAGTCTGCGGACATACAAACATACATACAGGCATTTTAACTAGAGAAGACCCTTTCCTTTACAGTCGAGAGGACTGTTATATAGAACACGAAGTTCTAGTGGAGAAACATCGAGTTTCTCGGAGAAAACTAGAGATTTCTGTGGGAGAATAATCGCGTTTCTCAGGTAAAAAGACGAAGTTTTTATGTAGAATTGTTTTTCGGTTAACTGCAAATGTCTTAAAATGCATAGTGAAAATGGCGCCAAATGTCCCTGGATCGAACTAGGTGGTTGTTTTTCTCACTACTTTTGGATCTAGTCTCACAAATTATGAGGTAGAAAGCTCGGAATGGTCTTAAAAGAAAGAAGAGAAAATTCCGCATCGAACGATGAGCCAGATTTTCGAATTTGGACTTCCAAGTGGACTTATTGTACATTCACTGTAACTGGATTGATGACAACTGTGGTACTTCAAGAGCGCCTTGAGAAGCAATATGGTGCGCTACCCAAGCGGCTTTTAGTCAAAGACACACAGTTACCAGGGCACGCGGGAACACTGCTAGATTATGGAATCAAAAGCAATTCAATTGTAAACGTTATTTTTTGACTGTTTCTTAACAATAAAGAAACGTCCAAGTAAGAGCCCTTAAGAGAGAATTCACGAAGCAGCGAGCAGCTATTATGAACAACCGGAAATCCGATTTTCTGGATAATTCTAAACATAATTTTAAGCAGTTGTTCACGCAATACTGCGATTATGACTCTAGAAAAACGATTTTAAAACAAACTTATGTGTAGTTTCAGAGAAAAGGCAGGCCGATATCTAGGATAGATATTCTAAAAAGATCATCAACTTACTACTACCACTTACATGCAGAGTTTTCTAAGACGATTTTTCCGTATACAAACGTTTTTTAATTGAGTTTCTTAGAGTTTGAGACAGGCGGCATCTAGAGAGTAATATTTGACACCTTACACAACAAGTAAACAATCATGATGATGTTATTGCGCAATTCTTCTTCGTATTACAAAATATGACCATAGTTATTACGAAATTACTTTCATATAAATATCACCAACTCTTTCGAAACGATGTTCTTGTTTGTAACTAGCCAAAATGGCTTCATCATGGCAGAAAACAGATTTTGATTCATCGAAACATCGTGTAAGATTTCTTGTTGATGTGACTTATACATGGTTTCCGTATCATTTAAAATAGGCTTCTGATCCTGATTGGATAAAGAATATCAATACACCAATACCAACAGAAGAACGACACCTTCTCAATTCTAAGCCGAATGTATCTAAAACCACTGTTAAAAACCAAGTATCTCAGAAGAGTTTAAACAAATTTTATGATCGTCTTAATCAAATGCCACCAGAAAAACTTGATGAAGAGCTACAAAAAAGAAATTTATCAACAAGGTTGTAAAAAGAAAAAAACATTTCAGATTTTAATCAAAGTCAGGATACTCAACTTATAACTTGAAACAGGTGAAGTTCAGTTTAGTTTAAACCTTTATTAAAATGAAAATATAAAACCTGAGCACAAAGGGTTAAAAACCCACTTTAACACTATACACAAAAACACACACATGTAAACATATGACACATCGTCTCGGAAACGTCAAGAAAAAATGTTACCGGTGATAAAAGAACTGCTCAATTCGTCATCATCAAGAAAAAAACTGCCAAGACTTAAAATATCAAAAGAAGAGTCTTCTCTATTACTTATCCGATTACACAACTTGACTGGACCTAATCGGTAACTTTTCTTCATTATGATGAGAAATTCATTGATTGTAAAGTTCGAATCATGTTTTAACGACCGTGCAAAACATAAGCATTGATTCAGGCAGATAAATGTCCACTGGATTCGTTATTCTGAAAAGTATGAACTTCTCTGTGAGAACTGTGTAGAATTCTATCAATAAGTACAGTAGGTAGTTTATGCACTTTTGTAGGTTTGGCTTGTCCAAGACTAGACACTGAATTTCTCTAGAATAGATCTGACTGAATCGACTCAGTTTATTAGTTGAATTGACTGGCTTAGATTGAAAGTCAACCAATTCATGTTTCTTATTGACTTTGTTTTTTTTGGAATAAATAGAGGTGATCTTAGAATTCGACGATTTCGTTTAAAACATCATTTTAAATCAGAATTAACGTTTGGATGTGAAAATCCATTCAGCATGATTGAACAACCTTTCCAATATATAGCTGCTCTGGATTTTGAAGCGACATGTGAGGAAAACGGAGGCAAAAATTATCAAAATGAAATCATTGAATTTCCTATTGTATTAATTGATGTCAAACAACAAGCTATTGTAAGTTATTTTTTAAAAATTATGTTCATATAATGACTTCGTTTGTTTTTTGATTAGACAGATAAATTTCACTCATATTGTCGACCAGCAATTAAACCAATTTTATCGAAATTTTGTACCCAATTGACGGGCATCAGACAAGTATGTATTTCGAACAGTAATCATCCGACAAGAATATAATATTAGAATCTCGCTTCTATGATATGTGAATCCTTATTTGCACAAAACCTTCGAGTATTATGTATTTCAAATACTCCATAAGAAAATGTTACAAATTTGTGGTATTCAGCATTCAGCATGTCAAAGGTTGGAGTGCATAATCTATATTAGATTTTTTCGCAAGATCTGTGATCAAAATTTATTAAAATGCAAAATTGATTATGAGAGATATAATTACGTATGACTTCAAAAAAATAGATTGCAAGATTCAAACAAAATAATCTATAGTATGTAAAAGAATGTACTTTATCAGCATAGGAAATATTTTTTACTATAAAAAAATGTTTGATTTTAAATCATAGAAGATAAAAATGATATATTTGAACAATGTGTTAGTTTGATTTAAGAAATCAATGTTATCAGCAACTCAAGATCAAAACCTTCGTGTAGTTTTTGTTGAGTTGAAAGTAAAACTATTTATCTTCTCTTTTGTTTTTTGAGATTTCTGAAATAAAAGAATCGAAAAGTATATTGACAAAGAATTGCATCCGGGCTTTTACGTAGTATTTTTTTTCTTGAGACTATTCTCAAATATGAAAAACAATCAAATAATAATGAACGTTTGATTGTAAAATTATAAATATTCTATAGCATCAAGTAGATAATGCTCCGCCATTCGTCGAAGTTCTTCATAATGTTGAAACATGGTTATATGAACGAAATCTTCTTTCATCAATGAATGAACACAAATTAGCATTTGCCACTGATGGGTATGAATTGAATATCAGTCCGTTTTTCTTTAACATATTATTTTACTTGTTTTTTAGTCCATGGGATTTTGCAAACTTTCTTCAAATGCAGTGTCGTTTGAGTTCAATACCTTATCCCCCATGGGCTGAAAGATGGATTGATATTCGAAAAGAATTCTCTGAATTTTATCCTGTAAAACGAGCTGGTATAAAATTACGATAGATTGGTTTTTATTTGTTGTACAATATTTCAATTTTTAGGTATAAACAAGATGTTGAATAAACTTGGTCTTGATTTCGATGGTCGTCCTCATTCTGGCATAGACGATTCAATTAATATTGCACGAATAACTCTCGAATTATTGAAGGTTTGTCTTGTCAAAGATGATCTTTTGTTAATGAATATATATATTTAGGATGGTTGTGTTTTGTCATTTAACGATGGTATACGTGGATCTGGTTCAAAACATGCAGCAGAAACTGATGAAAAGGCAGAAGTCAATCAGAAAGATGAAGAAAACGATCTTGTTGTTTTTGAAGACTAATCACTGTCAATTTTATCCTGTTGAATAAGATTTTTAAGCATGAATAAATAAATGGCAGTTTTTTCTGATATTTTTTTAGAGTGAAAATTTTCATAAAACTTGGTAAATCAGATAAAGGGTCTGGTAGTAACTCATGAAGTTTTCCTCGGCCTGGGAACAGTATAAAACGAACGTATTTTGAGAGTGAATAACTAATCTGATGTCGGTTTGTTATGATCTGGTCAATTTTGTATAGATGTTTTCCAGTGCCAGATAACTAGGCATCAGCCCGTCTGGCACACAGTTCCACTGGCATCAAGTTCTCTGGCAATAGAAAATACCTATACAAAAGGGATCAGATCTTAACAAAGCCACATCAGATTAGTTATTTACTCTCAAGATACGTTCATTCCTATTTCTAGACCGAGGAAAAATTCATGAGCTTCGACCAAGCCCTTTGTATGTGATTTTTGTATTGATTGCCAGAAAACCCAAGACTGTAGAAGTAGAAAACTATTGGTGCTGCTGAATAATAGTGTCTACATCTTATGTTTCTTTGACTGATATAACCATTACTAAAATCAGCTATTTATCCTATGGTATATGCTCTATCTTAAGGGTGTGAGGATGAGTTTCCAGCAAAAATTCAACAAAAGTTCAATTTTTTGAAGAATTTTTAAGAGCTACCACGACGTGTTTCGATCTCGCTCCAAGATCTCATCAAGTCGCTTTTATCGACTAATCTTTGCAGAGTATACTTCTAATTTTGAGTTCGCGGCAAATATATTAGACTGAGCGCTAACATCGGAATGATGACAGACGTTTTCCCTTCGCCCATACTCATTTGCATGACAATATTTCCGATCGTTGTATCATCGCGCGACATCGGTGTTTGGATCATATGACAGGCAACATTGACTTGATTTTCTCGAATTGTTGTATTCATTTCTAATTTCAAGGGTAACCAAGATAAATGTTCGACGGGTATTCGTACACCATCGAAACCAGTGGCAGTCATTTGCACATAAACTGCTGGATGTCCTTCATCATCCATACGCAATAACGTGCGATGTTTCTGATTCATCATAAACGGAGCTGATGCTACCCGCTTACGAGTGTATCAAACTCGCATACAACTTTCTTTGATATTGTGCGGCCAGAATGGAATAACCTGTTGATAAACTATAAGATTGATTGGTTTTCAATAGATGAAAAACCTACTTGCTCCGGATTGACCGAATCCCATTCGTCCTATTCTACATCGGAGACAGTTTCAACAACTTCAAGCTCAATCTATCACAGAATAGCGAAGTACACGTTTAGATATGAGCTAATTATTTAAAATCTTCTTACTACTTAGGAAGATTTATTTATGATGACCATCGATAGTGAGAGTGTAATAATTTTTGTCAGGCCAAACTTGTGACAATATCGACGCAAATCATATGGGGTCGATTGCTGGATAATACTTTGCAACTGGCATTCTAGTATTTTTTATTACGTCTAGTGAGAACTTCTCGGACCAGCTCGTCGTCGAATCTTCAGTTTCGATTGTATACAGACGAATTTGACTCTAGAAACACGACGGTAGATCTGGTAACAACAAAAACTAATTTTTCTTACCTTTTTACTTGCATCACTTTCGAATTTTTCTGGACAAACTAAGAATGGTGTTTCTATATGCTCAATATATGTTCGATTGTTCTCAGTTTATCGAACAATGAACGATAACTAATATCGATCACGTTTTTCGAGTTTATGGGCAAAGTTAAGAATAAAAATTTTAAAACCAATGCGGCGATCATGTTAAAAATTTTAATAAAAATTTTTAATCAAATAATAAAAATAAAAATAAAACAATTAAAACTAAAACATTAAAATTATAATTCGATATTTCGACCTATTAATACGGTCATTTTCAAGTTTCTCCTCGTACAGGATGTTACATAAAGTTTAAAATAAAATAACTGATTGTATATTATCTAGTGTTTTTCTAATCTAGGCACACACATCACAAAAAGGCTGAAAATCCATGTGCATGACAAAGAGAGAGGAAAAAAGAAGAGAACGAGATTATGAATGGAGAATTTTGTTATATGTACATTTCATTTTCTCATAAAGAATAGGTTGAATTGAAAAGAAATTTTAAAATTTTAAAATAAAGAAAAGAAATTTAAAAATCTATTCTTTATAAGAAAATGAAATGTACATATAACAAAATTCTCTATTCATAATCTCGTTCTCTTTCTTTCCTCTCTCTTTGTTATGCACATGGATTTTCAGCCTTATTAGTTTTTCAAGATTTGCAGTTCTGATGCATTCTTTTTATTCCCGGGTGCGTACTGAATGAGTTGGAGTAGCTAGCTGTCATAGTACGTGAGTTGCAAGGGTACTCTCATATTTAGGAAGTACTGTAACGCCTATGTCTTGCAGAAAAACAAAATCTGCATAAGTTCTTTAAAGATTCTACTTCTTAAAATTATATATATATATATGAATAATCTGCACTGTTAAAAAGTTGAGAAATCTTCAAGATCGTTACGAACGTTACACGTTCGACTGAACAGGGTTATTGTGTGAACGGTACTGTAAGAGCTGTGAATTTTGGCGTACTGCTGGTACAATATTGTGCTACAGAGTGCCCTATAGAATGCAGTAGACAAAAATAAAAATAAATGGAAATAATACCTAACCAACCCAAAAACTATTCAAGATTTATATAGATATCGAAAATCTGTCAGGATTCTGCTGATTAATTAATAACGAATTAATTGCTCTATTAGAATCAGTTACATATCTTGATCAAGTTTTTTCAAGACAGATTCTGTAACAAAACTTGTCGACAATCTTGAACTGCAAGATGATCTCAGAATCTTGACAGATATCGATAAATCTGCATAAGATCT